TATATTTATATTATATAATATTCATAAAACATATATTTAAAAAAACACATATCTAGTTATATGCCTATAACCCCAGGTGTGCTATGCCCGATTCATGTATATATAGGCCCTAAATAAAACTGTGGCAGATCAAACCAAGTTGATCTTTCCACTCTGCCTATTGGTTCATATAATAACTGTGTTTGTATTACTATTATAATGATAGTTTCATTTAATCTCATATTTCAAGTGATTTCATTGTGGCAAAAGCATGTCATAGTAATCATTATTACTTTTATCATGATTTATTTTTTAAGTTTTAGTTATATTTTGTTTTTATATTTTTCAGATTTGATGAGGTGAAGGACGAGGGTGCATCCTATTTATTTCTAAGCTAAAGTCAACGTACAGCACAAGAGAACTTTTAAACTAAACTTTATCGCACCCTGTTTTGTAATCCACCGCTAACAGCTCGCCTATTCTGCATCTGACCAATCCATGTTTAGCCAACAAGCTGAATCACTGCACCAAATAAAACCTAGAAAAGATACCTTTACCGATGACGCTTCCATATTTAGACTAGATTAAATAAAGAAAATTATCTTGTGAAATTAATTCAAGTAGGTTTCCATTGATAATTGGTATGTGGTTAAAATATAGATTAGTAAAACATTAATAATAATTTTTTATATAATCTTAGTATACTCTTTATACACATAATCCATAATAAATACATGTCAACATATCTGTTTCCATTGAAAAAATACAAAACAATCATAAAAGTCATACCGTAAAACCTCGAATTGAAGCACAATGGGCTTAATCTCGTGTGAAGAAGCCCATCTCGAATTGAAGCCCACCTCTTCAGTTTGCAAAATTAGCTTAAAAAAGAAGCCCATCTCAAGATACCATAGGCTTCTTTTCGAGATAGTACAGTACATGCACAGTACATGAATTTCAAGAAACAAAATAAATTAAAATCACACTTGGTTTATACAGAAGTTTAGGTGATTTTATGCCGTTTAATACAATCTGTGATACAGTTTTATGTTACAGTGTCCCTATTTATTGTTTTATAGTAGTAATTCCA